AAAAAAATCGAATGGGGGGGGGGGGGGAGGGCGAAATCCAGGAGAAATCGAAGACGAAGAAGTAAACAAATCTACCTTGGATCGAGACTAATGAGGGTATCCGCAATCAGAATATTGGATCTGAGATCTGAGATCCGACGAAATGCGCCTTTTACAGCTCCAGCTACTCAGTTGAATGTAGTAGAGGATAACTTCGCAGTGTTATTGTCACGCATCGCACTATATGTATATATACTGTTATAAAAGCGCGCGTAGCCATGACGCGCAGGAGGAAACGCTGTCGTTTGGAGGCTGAGCGAGTGAGTGCACGACAAATTTCGTGCCGTTTGGACATCGGATAGACATCAGATTAGAAAACGGTTTTCATTGTAGGCCAAACTTCCTGGCGTTTTCTCACCGGATAAACAGCTTGCAAGCGACAATCGTTAATTCCGAACTACATGCAATGTGCAACTCTCGCAGGCTTATTATTCAGCAAGCGTTCTTCCGAATTTTTCCAGGATTCCAAGTCACTGACAGAAACAGAGGCTTATCTGGTCAAACCTTGCATTACATTACAAGTCAACTTATCCAAGAGACAAAAGAAGAACTACAAGAAGCTGTTTCACTTGGAACACGAACAAACATTACAGTGCTTTGGCTCTACTCCGTTCACCACCCCATCTGTGCCTATGAGCTCTTCTCTTCTCCCCTTCCTTCTTCCCTTTAGCTTTCGCTTTGGCTTTCTCTGTTAAATCCTGCTCTCCTCTCCTTTTATACATCTTAAAACTTATCTGTCTCTCTGCTGCCATCTTCCTCACCTTCTCTGTAATCTCCGCTGCAATCGCCCTGTTGTACAGTTTCCTCAGACCTTTCATTAGCTTGGCAAATGTATCCGGTTGTGGCATAAGATCCATCTCCATCATGTCCAAACAATACGAGCACGCATCCTTCACGTGCCCTTTTGAGAACAAGGCATGGATCCATATCGTCCAAGTAGATACGTTCAGCTCGCATGTGCCTTTGCTTGTCATGCAACTCCATACATCTTTAGCCATCTCGAGCTTATCGGCTCTCAAAAGGGTATTTAGTAATGACTTCAATGTACCGTATTGAGGAACAGAGAAGAGGCCTCGACTCACCATTTCCTTGAAGTGGTCGCATGCTTCGATCAGACAGCCTTGGCTTGTGAACCCATTGATCATAATAACAAATGTATCAACCCCAGGACTCAATCCACTAGCTTCCATCTCATTCCATAACCTAACAGCTTCCTTAGTTTCCCCTAACTTACAAGCTAATCTGATTACTACATTGTAAATGACAAGGTCGGGATGACACCCGATCTTTTCCATGCCCTCCATCAACTCCAGGCATTCTTCAAACTGTTCTTTCTTCTCATGAGCCACCATGATCTGCATGTACGTGAGTTGGGACGGTATCAGCCCTTTCTTTATCATATCATCCAAAATGCCACAACCCTTTTCGATCTTCCCCCATTTGCAAAACCCACTTATCAATGCTGTATAAGTCACGATATCAGCCTCGCATCCATACCTCTCCATCTCAACGAAAACCCTCATGGCCTCATCCATTCTTTCCATCTTACACAACGCCTGAATCAAGACCGTGTAACAATTCGCATTCGGTTCCAATCCTTTTCTTCTCATGTCGTTTAAGAGATCATAAGCATCCGACATTTTCCCAGCATGAGCATACCCATTTAGCAGATTGGTGTAAACAACAATGTCAGGTTCAAAACCAGCTTCTTTAATCTGAACTAGAACATGTTTAGCTTCCATAAGCTTCCCTTCCCTGCACCAACCATACAAAAGGGAAGTAAAATGCCGCAAATTCGGCGGGAATCTCTCCCTCATATCCTCGAAAAGCTTTGCAGCATCCTTAACACTACCGTTCTTACACAAGGCATCTAGCAAACAGCCGAATATATGCTCGTCCGGTTCACATCCGTACTTAGGCATTTCGTCGAGCACCTCGATTGCTTTTTTCACCATATTCGCAGACGCAAACCTCCGCATCAGTACGACGAACAATTCCGGTGAAATCAACTGCGGGTCCTCCTTCCTCATCTCTTCAATCAAAGCCCAGACAGCTCCGAATTGCCGCATTTTACTTAGAATTTTCACCATCGATTTGTACACTTCATAACTGTGACAATAGCCGGGCTGCTTCGTCGCCCAGACAAAGAAACCGTACCCTAGATTCCCCGCATCGCCACACCGATTCAGAACCCGTTCGATCAACCCGGGTCGCAGATCGACACCGGATTCATTAAGAGCAAGCTCCAACTTCGGAACCCTAGAATGGAATTTCCGCAAAATTCTGTATATTTTCTCAACGTCACCAGCAAACTCATCGTGCTCTACGTTTCTCGTACGCTCGTTTTGGCTCTTATCGAGGCAAACTAAGCCAAATCCGTTTGTTCTCTCGTTTGAGTCCACGAAATTATCTCTGAGAAACACGGAAACATGGAAACTTCTTCGTCTGAGGTGGAATCGAGAGGTTGCTTGAGAAGATGGCAAGTGGAAGTAGCGTTTGCTGAGAAAATAATCGATTGCGAAAGATAATTTACGCATCTCTCTCCCGACGATACGGCGGCAAATGTTTTTCCTCCGCTTTCTCGCATTTTCTCGGCAACCAAACGAAACGATGCAGAAGAAAAACGGTGTCGTTTCAGCTTCTCCCTTGGATGGAAAAAGCCCTAAAACTGAGAGATTTAAGAAAAAAAGGGAGCTTAGGATAATTGGTAACTTACACAATCCACCGAACAAAAACAAAAACATTCAAATACACGGAAAGCACCAAGTTTATGATCCATATGAGTTATCAATTTGGGTTGATTTGGGTCGTCAATTTTACATTGGGGTTAAATATGTGAATATATAAAATTATGGGGTAAAAGAAATATCCAAGCAAGGACAATATCTGAAAAGTGGGCCCGACAAAATGGGGCCCAGCCCATGATAATGTGCTGCCAATCCATTCTGGGACTTTGATGATAGGTTCGGAAGCACGTTTGACTCGCCTTTGCTTCTATACTTTCGGCGTGACTCTTAATTACGCATTTGTTTTACCTTTCATTTTTTATTATTATTTTAACTTGGTTACTGAATATTAATCCACAAAAATGTAAAATTTGAAATAATTTTTCAAAATTTAGAAATCGATATTTTCAAATTTAAATTTAAAAATATACAATTATAAATTTATAACACATATATATATATATATATAAAATTTAACAAAAAATCATGAATTTTAATATACAAAATCATATAATTAAACATTTCGATAGCCATAATAATTTGAAATTTTAATAGTTACTGTATTTATATAAAAATAGTTCATGTATTTGTTTTTTTGGGTCGATTTCGTCATTTTTATAAAATCTTTCCAAGACTTAAATTACTTATCTTAGATCTTCCGTATGCAACCTATCTATGTTTGTTTTTATGAACCAAAGATATAAAATTTTCAAATGAAGAATTGCAATTCATCATTAAAAAAAAAAAATGCGCTAGTTTTGAAATCATTGTTAAATCGGAATAATAATACACCGCAGCTTTACAACAAAGGGCTAAGTCGCTTGGATCACGGCTCTTTTTCTCTCTCTAGAAAGCGTGGACCGTATCTTTAATGCAATCTTGTTTTGGTGATTAATCATATACACACACAATATATATATATATTTCATCATCCAATAATCAAATCATGTGGTGAGTTATATATAGAAATACACAAACATACTAAAAAAAACCCCAATGATCTTAAGCGCAATAAATGCTCCATTAGCCCTTTGAAGAGTGTAAATTACACATCCGTGATTATCTACAAACCATAATTCAATCTGTATAAAATTTGATTATGCATTCAATTTTCATCACACGTCAAAATTACTCGAAGATGGCAAAGGTCAAAATTAAGTTGCAAAAAACTTCTCATTTTTTTAAAGAAAGGAAAGATAAATCCAAAAAATAATGGGAAAAATGAGAAAGATAAGAGTGGGGGGAAGAGAGGCAAATCCAGAGTATCCTAAAATCGGAGTTTGATTTTAAAAAAAACCCTAATGAATTAAGATGTGATTAAGGGCATATAATTGAATCAGTAATCAGGCATCAAGTGGCTAATCTTCCCTTCTTCCTCCGCCATCTTCTTCTCCGTTATCTTCAACCATACACATACTCCGGTGAAGCTAATCACCAAGCTCGCAAGCCCGCTGCCGAGCCCGATTCCCACGATCGCCAACACCGACAACCCTGTCTTCCTCATGCCCGACAAAGGATATCCGTACAGACCCTTGTTCCCTTCGAACGAGCTCGCGTTGAATCTCGGGAGGCTCCCGCTCCGGTTCGCCAGAGACGCCGGAATCTGCCCCGACAACCGATTGTTCGACACGTCGAACGCGGATAGCCTCGCGAGAAGCCCCAGCTGCTGCGGGATCGGACCGGAGAGCTCGTTGTCGTGTAGATCGATGACGTTAAGGTACGCGCAGAGAGCGAGCTGCGGCGGGATTTGGCCTGAGAGACGATTGGAGGAGAGATTGAGGACGGCCAGGTTGACGAGGAACTGCAGTTCCGGCGGGATCTCGCCAGATATCTGGTTGGAGGATAGATCTAGGGATTGGAGGTTGGTGCAGTTGGAGAGGAAGGGAGAGATGGAGCCTCGGAGGGCGAGATTGGTGAGGGAGAGCTTGTAGATTCGGCCATTATTGCAGGTGGCTCCGGGGAGGTAGGAGGTGAAGCCACTGCAGGGGTTTGAGAACATGGACTTTGTCCAGTTCCGGAGGTTGTTCATCGGATCCTCCAAGCTCTGCCGGAGATGGTTCAGGCACGCCTCGTCGTTTGGGTCTCCGGTGGTCAGAGGCCGTGCCGTTTCCAGCGTAATCAACAAGAACAGAAGTAACCGGAAGTTACGCCGATGTCCCCCTGCCATCATCGCCGATGTATATCCCCGCCGCCAATCCAGAGAGATAGAGAACGAGGGAGGGGGGAGGGAGAGAGACGTTTTCAGAAGACTACGCTTTCATGTGAGTGACAAAAAAAAATAAAATATTTTTTAAGAAAAGTTGAGGAGATGGAACATAGATGTGTTTGTTAAAGAAGAATTTCTGCTTGGACCTGATGGTGGTGGTGGTGATGATCTTTAGGCCGGGTATTGAGGCGCACGTTAGCAGGGCATTGGGGTATGCGCAAGATAAGAGTGAGAGGGGATAGATAAAGTGGTAAAATAAATGGGATTTAAAATTGATTTTATGCTTAATATGACTATAATGCTTTTCTACCTTTGAATATATATTTATTATATTATACCAAACATTTCGTATCCTCTAATCATTTCTATGGATTGGACGAAATAATCTAGTGAATTATTGAATTAATTATATATATATATATAATTAAATTAAATCGGTGGGCTGTTCATAACCCTAACGAAAGAGCTGTGGTATTGCTTCTAATTTTAAATATACTGCCTGCAATAGTAATGACGCCACGTTGAAAGTTAAATCCAAAAGGTTTTCGATAATGGGCTTTGGATTTAAAAACTAATATGTTCCTCTTTTGGACAAGTTTCTAATACACAATTTGTGGTTATAATCATTATCGAATTAATATCATGACCCTGCTTTTGTCCTGGCATTTATCAGTACCTATCATTTTATTAAATTTTGAATTTTAAATTGAAATCGATTTCCATCTAATTTTATTCAAAGAATCACAACTACACAAACTAAATCGAGAAAATTTTAGTCTTGATGTTCATGAAATCGTTTGTATTTTTTCAAGAAAAGACAAGTTTTCCTCAAAGACAAACCGAAAGGACACGTCTTATCCAAATTAGAATCTACAAGAACCTCACCCAAAGTGTCACAAGTATCCATCAAGCAATTTATTTTCACGTATTTTTATTTTATTTTATTTTTCTCGAATCTGCTATTAGTGTTGACTAGTCAACTCGACTCTTTCCATCGCTAACTATTATCAATACAATAACCCTATTTATTTATACACTAATGTATGTTATATGTTCTTGGCAATGTATTAATATCCAAGAAACATACGTTTTTATGGACGAATGGTTCTCGAGATTCACTCAAGCAACAGGGGCTTTGCAGCAGAGATCAAGAACATGGTCGAGAGAAGCATGGTCTCCTGTTCCTTCGTCTTTCCGGCCATACATCAGCTTGTTGCCTCTAAACACAAACGTGCCTCCCTATCAAGAAAGCAAGAAAACCCCATCAATTCAATTCAATATACGCTTATGGACATCCACCCGAAAAGAATCTTGAAGAGAAGATTTAGCTTTCACCTGTTGCAGCACACTGCTCCTATCTTCAGGAGTGGCTTCTATTGTATAATTCTTTGTAGCTTCTCGCAACTCGTTAAATCTTGAAAATACCTTGGCCTGTACCATATATATATATTCAAGCAAAAAGAAGATAGTATGCTCAGTGGGGAGATGAAATAATGAAATTGAGGAGGGCATTATCATAAGGAGGTTTCTTACGCTAGCTGGGTTGAAGAAGGTGCGACCGAAACCATAGTATAAACCGAGAACATCGTACGCCTGCATTTGCGATAGTGAAACCCTCTTACAGATTTCAGTTTCTTTCTGTCCTCCAACAAATTTCAAACGGAGAACAACGACAAGATGCTTTCTTTTTTGTTCCCGACTGTTACCTTGCGTTCAGGATCAGCGTAGAGGCATTCCATTGGAAAGGGCAACTAAAGAACAAGAAGCTCATTTCAGTAAATAATATAGTGAATTACAAGAAATGATACTTGTGAAGGAACTCTTCTACTTCGGATTTAAGATTGAACAATGGAAAAACAGCGAGAAGAAATTCATCATAAACTTTTCTGGCCAGATATCTTTTAAGGACGATGATCATCTGCCATTAAAATATTGTTACGCTGAATTTGGAACTATTTCTTCCTATGCAAGTAACCCATAACAAGGACAAGCTCAGCCTCTAAATTCATACGATAATAGAAGACTAAGCATTAGTTAGTGGGACATGAACAAGAATGACAATTTTTTACCCGGGTTGCGAGCATACGGGCCTTATCAGGAGTTCCAACACCGACAGCAATCAGTTTAACACCAGCTTGCTCAAATCTTGGCTTCACCTCTTTCAAAGCAGACGCGAGTTCCCAACTTGTTTAATTGTCACAGAACAAATCATTTCAGTGATCTAAACCAACTCCAGAATTCTGGATTCGAGAATACGTATGAACTCGTGGTGATGTCAAAGAGGCTAAGACCAGTGACGGGTTTGGAGTTCAGCCCACAGGTTGCAAGGAAGAAGCAAGGATATTCAGCTTTACGGTCATTTATCAATTAAGAAACATAGCCAATTCAAATGTAACATATCTTTCATCAATAATAGAGTTTTCTTCTTCCTATCTAAAAAACACTTGAACATGTAGCTGTAAGAACAACCTGTGGGCTTCAACCATGACTCGCCCGACGTAATCCATGAACCCGAATAAATTCACAGCGGAGCAGATCATGGACAGCGGGTTTCAAGCCTCTTCGACATAACCACCAATTCATATACATATCTCAAAGTAATGACGAATGATCAATTACCAGCACATGCACCCAAAGTGCCTCAAAAGCACTACTGCAGCCAATCCCTACGCGAAAACACAATTCAACAGAATTACCAAGCCGAAAATTAGGAAATGAACCAAAAAAAATCAAAGAATAGATTCAGATTCTCAAATACGTACGTTGTTCTGATCCCAGAGGTCCCTGAAAAGCACGCGCTCGCCGGAAGCCGTGAATATGGCGACACCGCCGACAGCCTGGCCGATGTCTTCTCCGAAACCATCGACTGCACCAGGGGAGGCTCCGGCAACAATACGAGGTCGACCGGAAGCTGTAAGTGGAGCGTGTCTGAATTCTAATCTGGGGAAGGAAACAGGAGTAATCGAAGAAGTTATATTAGAGCGAAATTGATGGAGGGATTTTGGAAACCGAGGAGCGGAGGAACCAAGGAGAAGGAAAGATTTCGGAGATGGTGGAGAGAGGATAGCCATGGATGGATAAAGAAGCCAAAGCCCTCTATCAAGTTCTGAGATGCTCGCGAAGAGGGAGATGAACAGAGAGAAATCAAAGACTAGGAGAGGGCCAAAAAAACGTAAGGTGTATTAGTGGCGGACAAAACGCTGTCGTTTCACTTATAAGGCCATCCCAATGAACCCTCTCTCTAAACCATTTATTATGATTATAGGCCCAATTCTAGATACAATGGACCTTAGAACATCTATTGGGCCCACTTTAAACCCATTTAAATGGACCACTTTATAAGCATTTTTATTGGAACCATTTTTAGCCCATTTAGATGAACCCAATCACAAAAAAACATACGAATTAAGAATTCTTTATCAAGTTCAACCTATACATTCAGAATTAATAGTTGAATCTATCTTATAAACGAATTCTGATATTAATTAATTTTCTCCTTAGAAACAACCTCGGAGTGTTTGTGCGAAACAAATTCAGAAACCCATTGTTTCGTACCATGTAGAGATTGTGCCAGCACCATCTTTATCATCATCAAAACATGCATTTATTATCTTCATCGTCATACCCTTAAATTGTATATTCATTCATCATCGCCGCCGCCATACCAAGAACGTCCAAAACTACGTAAATCTTCATCCTATATATGGTAATCTGATATTAAAAAAAAAATGGAAAATAGAGGAGGAGGAGGAGGAGGAGGATCCTTTCCTTTGTTGCATATATGAAGTGTTCGTGAAAAGTGTAAGTATTAAAGGTTAGGATAATGAGAATAACAATGGTTAGATTCGGACCATTCGCTACGTGCTTATAATCATTAATCTTGATTATATATGTGTAGTATGATGCATATTGTTTATTAGATTGTAGTTATATCATAACCAAGATTCGTTATCGAAATTAATTAATACATGATAACAAGACAACCAAACTATATATAACGACATTTTCCTGTCTTTTTTTTTTTCATACGAGGATTCACTCCTTTTAACCACTTGTTCAAAATCAGAGAGAGAAAATGTTTGAGGAAAAAAAACCAAAGGGCAACAAACAATACACGTAATTGAAAAATGAAACATCTTATCATGAAATAAAGGAACTTTAATAATTGCATTTCGTGTTTTTTTTTCTTATCCCTAAAACAGAAAAGAACACCCTCCGGTTCATGACCAATGGTTTAAATTCCTTTCTTTTTTTTTTTCCATCTGTCACCAAATTACGAGTTAATGTTAAAGGTTCCAAAGATCCTCAGTATCAAGAATCGTGTGTTGTCTCAAAATCAAAAATCAAAATCACATCTATCTTTTTGCCCTTTTCTCATAAAAAAAAAAAAGTAAAAAGACCATAATAAATTCAAGATCGACAATGAATCAACAAGTGGCAAGAAACTGTAGGAACTAGGAAGTGAACTTTGTTTGATGTTTGTCGGAGCTTGGAATTTGACCCATCAAATAATTTCCGCCTCTCTCCCATGCACGTGCATGCATGTTGAATAATCGTCTTAAAATAGGTATGTTTTGGGAGTGAAAAGACGGCATATAGCCTTACTAATGAAGAAAACAGAGACGGAGATCTGAAAAATGGGTGCCCCACGGGACATGGGTTCTCGTTACTCATATCAGAAACGGACCATATCTCTATTTCCCAATTTTAAGATTTAATAAAATAAAACAAAAAGTGTATTAACAGTAGTACGTATAACATTAGGCCATAAAATTACCGGAATTCAAATTACACAATGGATTTTTCTAAAAAAAAAAGGTGTGGAATTAGAATATAACGTGGTCTTTGTTAATTCAACAAAAAAAACGTGGTCTTTGTTACGAAGCCAACGACTATATGGGAGGGGAAAAGGAAAAGAAGCGAATCTCGCACCTACTCGTGTCATAATTTAGACCGCTATTTCTTGTTTGTCTAAAATCAGAATTTACATCAATTTAAATTTATCGAATAATTCACATTTTATGGATAATTGAACAATATAAAATATTTATATAATATAACATTATTATTATTTTAATTTATTTTTTATTTTTTATCTTATTTTATAATATTTGGATTTTTTAAATATTGTGTGTAGAAATCCATTGTCTGGTTTATATAATATTACAAAATAATTATGTTGTAATTTAATACGATATTATAATTTAATTTTTAGATATCAAAAGATAATTTAAATTCTCTAGTAATGACGAATGATCAATTAGAATATAACGTGGTCTTTGTTAATTCAACAAAAAAAACGTGGTCTTTGTTACGAAGCCAACGACTATATGGGAGGGGAAAAGGAAAAGAAGCGAATCTCGCACCTACTCGTGTCATAATTTAGACCGCTATTTCTTGTTTGTCTAAAATCAGAATTTACATCAATTTAAATTTATCGAATAATTCACATTTTATGGATAATTGAACAATATAAAATATTTATATAATATAACATTATTATTATTTTAATTTATTTTTTATTTTTTATCTTATTTTATAATATTTGGATTTTTTAAATATTGTGTGTAGAAATCCATTGTCTGGTTTATATAATATTACAAAATAATTATGTTGTAATTTAATACGATATTATAATTTAATTTTTAGATATCAAAAGATAATTTAAATTCTCTAAGCTATATATATATATATATATATATATATATATATATATATATACACACACACACTCCCATGCTACAATAAAAATGTGATAATTTCTTGGGAGGTTATCAGTTGTTACAAATTCAAGGTATGTTTTGGTTAATATTAATGCCTCCATATTTTTTTAAAGGCCAGAAAAGCCTTGTTATCTTCCGCCTCTATACATAAATTCATACGTGCATGTGATATATGTTACTGAATACGAGTCAATCAGGATGGAGATTAATGCATAATTAATGGAATAATTAAGTCATAAACATCGTTATCGTTAACCTAACTTCATGATTTCCATACATTAACTTACGTACAACTTAATGCATATGGAACGATACAAATAGTCTAATTTCTTTTATATCGTCTTATGTTATCCATGTTACTTGATCGGCGCATATCCATATACGTTGCGGCTATATATATATATATATATGTATGTATGCATAATCAAAACTTTATGAATTAATTAACATATATGTATATATAATTGTATGTTGGGTTGATAATGTTAGTGCACCACACGTATTAACAGTAAGACAAAAAATGCTTACTCTGAAATAAAAGACAAATTCCCTCCAAAGTAATTTTGTTCTCCATGTCATAATAAATTATAAACGGATACTAAAATACATTGTCATTAATTAATTAGACGATGCCGTGAATATCCGCTTCACCTTAGTGCTCTATCGAAATTGAAATTTATAATCACGTAATTAAATACAAATACAATGGTTATATAGTTACAAACAACCTATACAGCACTTTGTTTAAAAAAACATATTTTATATCCATAATATATATATATATAAGCAGTGAAAGTTAATTAATTTGGGCATTATTAGTAATATATTCGTGTATATATATACACACACTTTTGAAGGTCGCTTTATTTCGTAATTTTAATTAACCAGGGCCCCATACTTCTCATATTCTATGTTTCATACCCCTTATTAATTATTACGAGCTCGGGCGCCTCACTCTATTTTGTCGTTGCACGCGTCATATATACTTTTCCGGGCATCTATTTATTAATTAAAATTGTATTGTTGCATGGGAGATCTTTAAGATAATTAATAAAAAAAACAAAGCACGTATCATGTTTTTTCCAACTTTTTTTTGTATGAATGTTTCTTCCAACTTGTAGTTAAAAAAAATATGCGTTTCTATCATTTTTAATTTGAAAAATATATAAAAATAGCACTCGATACTTAAACAGTATATGCATAATATAATACGTTCGTATGTAATTTATTACATTTCTGTTGCTACATATATTGGATAAGTTTTAAAGTTCTTCTTTTTAGTATCTCCGCGCGAAAACGGGAAAAATGTAACTCTAATTGAAGAAATATTATAATGTTTTGTTTTAATTTGTATCTATTAGAAATATAAGTACAGACAAAGAAGTTTATATCGTTCAAAAATAAAATTCGAATTATAAAAAAAATTAATATATATTGCAACTCATTTAGTGTTTTTTTTTCTTTAATGGTTCCTCAAGCGAAGTGGCAATGGACCGTTCCAACTTCAAAAAAACCATTGGTATATCATTTTTAGACAAATATTTGGAAATTTTAATCTTTTATATATAAGGATAAAATAACAGAGAGAAAAGTCGGTCTAGGAAACTAGCCCCTAAAATTTACTAAAACCATACATTATAATAATTATTTACTTTTTTTATTTCCTTTTCCTCTCAACATTTAAATTTTTTTTTTTTACAAACAGAGGTATAAAACGCATCTCTTTCACTCGAAACGACTTCGTAATGGCTTCAGAAATCAACTACGTGATTTCTGAGCATCGATGGGTTCTGTTGGGCCGTCACAACGGTACTATCGTTGCATGGCCACGTGGCATTCTCGGAGGCCTGTTGCATCCGCCTCAACATCGACACGTGTCGCATGTTCGACAGCTTCTCCACGAGAATACGATGTTCCAGCCATAGATGATCGTTCTCCGCCCGTGCCCGTTGGCAGTGGTACACTACGTACCGGAGCCGGTTCGTGAGTTCCCGGTTCTCAATCCTTAACCGGTTTAACTGGGTTCTCATGTTCTCCAGGTGCTTCTGCTTCCTCATCCTCGACCGTCGAGCCGATTCCCGGTTTGATATCTTCCTTTTCTTTCTCCGTTCGTCCATATCTGATACAAACCGGTTTTGGGATTTATCATCTGAACCGGAGCTAGAGTTGGTTTGAGCCTGGGTTTGGGGCGAGGTGTGTTTCTCAAAACCGGGTTTTGTCTCAACCGGTTCATCCTCCGATGAATTGAACATAGAGAAGATGTCTGATCCATCCCATGGTGTGAATCCGGTTTCAAAAGCCGGAAATGGGTTGGCAAGACCCGGTTCGGAAGAGAAAACCGGAGGAATAGTAGACATCATGGTTTAAGCTTAACCAAGGACAAGAATCTTGTGTACTCTTTTTTCTTGAAATACAAGACGAGAGTGAGGTTAGAAGGGGAAAAGGGAAGAATTGCTGCGTAGGAGACTCATATTTATGGAAGAATTGTGGGGCTAACGTCGGGGCCAAAATGGTCATACATGTATGGTTCCCATACCGTATACCGTTGAGATGGTGGGGTCTATGTGTTTTCTGATAGCCTCTTTCCTTTTTTTTTAATCTTTTTCAGAAAATAAAAATAAAGGAGGGATATTTGTGGAAAATGCGCATCGTCGTGACAGAGGCTTTTTGGACACGTGTCGTAACGGGATTAGATGTAACTAATAGAAGCCAGATGGCCCAAATCTGTCGAAGTTAAGCCGAGCCGGTCGCTATCATGGCTTGTTGCGCATTAACATTGTAAATGATAATCGCATAAATAAAATAAAATAAAATAAAAATAATACATTTCTCAGTGCACTCACATAACAGGTAAGTAATGATTAAAAAAAAATTAATAAAGAAGAATGTGTAAAGACAGTAATATAATAGCAAAAATAATGCAAGGACCACGCAACAATTGTAGAATTGTCGAAGTTTTTTAATACGTATATACATTATATATACACATAAATTTGTGTATGTTTCGCGACAAAATGTGTTTCCATATTATAATATGTAAAATATAAATGTTAGGTGCTAAGCAACTAATGGCTAGAATGCAGCCGACGACAAAAAGAAATGTGCTTGGCTCTATTCATTAAAGGTACGTCGACACAGGGACGATTATTGTAACTGAATAACTTGAATAAATGATTAATCTCTTTATATATAACATAATGTTTCAAACATTAAATTAAACGAAAATTAGTGTAAGATTCGAAGAGGAACAGAAGAATATTCTTGCGGGAGTTTTCTTAACAACAAAGCTGCGACAAATGGTCCCACTTCCCATAAGAAAGCATGGCTTATCAACTTTTGTAACCCTACCTTTATTTTCATTTTTAGGAGTTCATGTGCAACACATATCACAATTTCCCTTTTTTCAAAAATTAAAAATTCATGTAAAATTATAAATCAACATCATATATCCAACGAGAAATAAATAACCTTGCAACTAAATAATATATTTTTATAATTAACTAGACAAATCACTAACAAAATTTGCCCAAACGTGAATTATAGTATTACATATATATAAAGTTTGTAGATATTGAAATGATGTAGTCGAAAAAAAAATTATGGTTTACCGCCGGCGACAAAAATAAACGAACATCTAACAAAAAATATATAAAATATTTGAATATTGATGCTAATTTGTATAAGGCCGCTTTTAGGCACGTGTTCATAATTGGGCATCAGCGTACAAAGGCCCATATTGAAAACATGGGCTTATGACACGTGCTGTTACTAAATGTAGGCCTTCAAGCCCATTAAAGGCCTACGTATGAAACATGACGACTTTTTTTTTTTTTTTTGATAATATGAAACATGAAGACTTCAGAAATTATTTCAATGCTTTAGTTGACGAGGTTGCCAAAATTGCTAAGAGATTAATACTTTAATTTTTACCGGTTGATACAAATGTAAAATATTTTATCTAGAAACTCATTTGACAATAAAATTTTTCATATTTTCTTTATCTATTTTCTTCGCGGGATGTATTTTTTAAAAATTCAAAAATTTTAAAAATAATCATTTGTTAACTATTCATTCCTGCCACTGGTTCGTTCATTTCCTTGTTATCTCTTCGTTTTCTCCATAGAAAACGAAAGCCACAAAATTATGGAAGAAAAAAAAAGTGATATTCACATTATGCATTATCTTTGCATCATTTTGTGTAATACTTTCAATCGTTCCCGAACAGACCATCATATATAATAAATAATAATTTAGTGTCTGTGGGTCCAAAAAATGTCATGAAAAGTAGATTCTTTTTCTGATAAGATAGAATGGAATCAGAACAAGCCTGCTCTCATAATTTTACGACTATCCAATTAGTAAAATTATGTTAGATTTGACAAACGGGCTTTCATGCCAATCTAGAAGATTCAAGATATATAATATGTGTGTATATATATATTTGCGAATGTCATTATTATATATCTTGAATCTTCTAGATAGGCATGAAAGCCCGTTTGTCAAATTTAATATATATATATATATATATATATATATATATATGTTATATATTAGTTTTTCTTTTGCATTTATTGTATATTTTCCCCCTAGTTGAGTCAGAAACGTTTTTCTGTCCCCCTATTGTTTGGCCTTAATTTGTAACATCAAATTGGTCTAACGGATCTCCTATGTATTATTCCATGTTATGTTATTTTATTTTTCGTCGTTCTATCTGGTTTTCAGTTCAGAAATGATATTGTCGTCCCTTTACAATAAATTATTACTAATAATTAATGTTTATAGGAATTTGAGCCAAAAGAATGATTTGCTTAATCCGCCGAATAAACCACCGCCGTACAGCATTGCTTTATTCTTTTTATTAAACATAATCCTAATTAATTATTTATACATTTATTGATTTAATTATCAGCCCCTTCATTCAACACAATTTATTTTTGTCTTGACCATACCAATTTGAAATCTTATCCTCTAAAAAAAATATCTAGAAACTCTTTTATCCAGATGTCTCTTTTTTAAGAAATTGCTAGAAACATAATACCCTTTCACTAAAAAAATTTGAACAAAAATGATAAATTTTAGAAGATGCTGAAAATATTTAATATTATTATATATTTAAATTTGATTTTTGTGTTAGATATTTAAGTTGTAGTTTACTCTCTATCTCTCTCTCTCTCTCTCTCTCATGTGTATATATATACCTTAAAAATAAATTATTATTTAGCGTACAATCTTCTTCAAATATCTATGATAAACACCACATATAAAAATCAGTTAGACCGGTTAATTCGTGGTTTGCTGTGATTAAGGGCCATTTAAGAAAAAATATAATATTAAATGGTGTGTGAATGTGAATATGTGTATGTGTATGAATAGGTTCAATTATTCCAAGTTTGAAAAGAATGTTGATCCGCCATGTCTTGTCCTTCCTTTTTGACCAGAATTTTAATTATCTTTCACGCGTTTGAGTTTATATCATGTGTGCCTTATATATATATACATTTATATATATATATGAATGAATGAATGTAATGTGTTCCCAATATTCTAGTGGGACGTAGCACAAGAAAAATAAACATAAAAAGTAATCATCATATAATGTGATTACCCACTTGATTGAGATTATGTTATTCTTTGCGCATTTCCTAATAATTTATTATTCATCTGTTTGTACGCAGTTTTGACGCGAAATAAAATATTACCTCCAAAAACCATGGTTAGACCCATCATCATCATCTTATATACATATATATATATATATATATATGTATAACTAATTTCTAATTTTATGCGATGGTTTCGTTTGTAATCATTCAATTACGCATGAGATTTAGACAATAATGGAAACTTCCAAAGTAAATCGTTTGGTCAAATTATAGGGTAAATAACCCAACTGAATTATAAATTCATAATGTTGGATATAGATTTCACAAGTTTTCCTTCCATTCGGCTGCACGTGAGGAGGAGATCATTAGGTGAATCTAAATAGAATATATGCTCTCGCCAACTCCGGAGAAAAAACAATAATAAACGACACCAAAATTAATTAATTATATATACATAGCGTGGCTCTATTAATCGATTTATAAGATATTTTATACACTGCTTCGGGAAATATAATTGAAATTCCAAATGCCATGCAACACATTCCACCCCCGAAAAACAAATTGCACGTATAAATTATAATTACGTGGAAAGTTTATAATAACTTATTGGAATAAAATTCTGATATAACGCGTACTTTGCTTTGGCATCTTTTCACATGATATCATCTGTTTATTTATTTTTATTACGTTTCATTAATATAAAAACAACAAATAACAGTTGAACGTTGAATTAACACTATCATTATTATTGATGTTTTAAATAGTTGTTTGTGTAAAAAAAAAATAAAGGATATTGTTTGGAATATATGGAAAATAAACTTTTCCATGACGTGATAGTGATATGTTGCCCTTTTTATGTAAGGTCCACATTTCTCCTGCAAACTCCTATGCGTATTGTGGGATTATAAACACTCCGTCATGTTCATGTATGCGGGGAAGGAGAATAGCAACAAGTAAGGAGTCTCTTATCCAAAGAGAGGCTCAGGATAAGGTTCATTATAAAATGTACCGGGTTGGGTATTGGATGGAATAACCGGAAGGGATTTGGGCTGATTTATGAAAACCATGTAAAGGGTATAAGTTGGGTCTAAATCGGGTTGGGTAGATCAAATTCATTCACTTTTCATTTTTGTACTTTTGCTTTTCTCTCTCTCACCTCGGTGGTTCTTCAAGAACTGAGGTGAATCTCTCTTGTGTAAAAAGTCTTGGATAAAGTTCTAGTGATCTAGCTCGGAACCGTAAGGTTTCGACCGTGAGTAGGATCGAATTCACCCAGCGATCCGAACACGTAAATCTCGTGTGTCTTTCTTTAGTTTTCTGTTCATCTTGATCTGAAGTTTGGTTTTGGTTTCGAACGAAGAATCGGAGAGTTCTGTCGGCATTGGCTTCACACGTATATATCTCCTTCCTCTGCCCTTTTGTTTATAAATTGCTTACAATTTCTCTTCTTCTTCTTCATACCTCATTTCTCTCTCTCTCTCTCTCTCTCTCTCTCTCTCTCTCTTTCTCTTTTTGTTTCTATTTAGATGATTCCATCTTTATATTTCTCTTTTTTTTTAGTTTTTTTTTAACTAAAATATAGAATATGTGTTTATATAAATGAAAAAAAACATTAGGAATATGAGGAACTCTCCACACAAAAAATCTATATATATATATATATATATATGATAAAGGAATGTAGAATTATCTCTCTCTCTCTCTATATATATATATGATAAATGGATATCTTAACTTACAACCCATGAAAGTTTATGTTACTTGTTAAAAAAACAAATATATATATATATATATATATATATATGTACTGTTAAAAAGATAATGGAATGTAAAATTTAGCCCATGTCAAGATGGTTTATCAGTCAATAATACTCATCTATCATATCTTTTTAAAATTGCCCCAAAACCCTATACAGCTGTTATTTATGCCATTTTTTTTTCAAACATTGCATTTTTCTTTTCTTTTTTTTTTTTGTCAAAGAGATTTCATTTTTCTTCGTCTAGTAATATGACCATTGCATAAAAAATAAAATATTATTTTTGAATTTTAATGTGCTATAAATATGAAAATTGCACAAAAACAATAATTTAAACGTTCCACATATTTCTAAACATTTATCTCGTGCACGATTTTGAGTTGCTTGACGGCAAAATTTATGAAACTACAGAACTTTTTATTTACAAAGTGGATGCACCTATATGTATGCGTAATGAAAAAAAAAACACATTAAAAGAAACAATAATATTCCATATAATATATGATTGTCTACCTTATGGTGGGTCCAAATAGGGTTAATTAAAAGGTGGGCCCAATGGGCCAGTAGGTGCATAATACACAATATAATTAAAAAGCTAAGGTGTGGAGAAGATGATGACGACCACCACCATTCCTTTAGGGTTAATTTGCATTTTTTTTTATTTTTTGCAAATGAATAGATACAAACAAAAACATTGTTTTGGAGTACAACTAGTCAAATGTTTTCATAAGCCAATGTTTTGGCAACTTGGCGTTTGCATCTATAATCAAAGTGTATTGGGTCATGTCATATAGGACATTGAGCATGTTACATGTATATATATATATATGGTGAGCATTATTCATAACCATTAAAATTTTAAATATTTTTTTTATCGTTTATTATACAAATATTTGGTTGCAAAATTGGGGAAAATAAATGTGAATCTTAGAACATTCTAAAAGTTTAACAAATTATAATTCAAAATTATATTTTTTTATAAGACTATTATGTGCATTTCTCACAAGTTTTGGAGACTGTATTGTAACTAATTAGGTGTTTAATGGTGCTACACACGTTTATATCCTTCGATGCCCTCTAATTATCTTTAAATTTCAGAGCAATTTCGAAAACTAAATCATTTTATCACACATGTTATCAAATATAGGGAATGTAAATTCCATATATATATATAATAGTAATACGATATTAGTTTAAGAGTATGTATTATAATAATTTGGATTCTTTTCATTTTAGAAATAGATTAAAAAATCTATTAGTTTTAAGATGAGATACGTCATTTTGTGTAGAATCGTATTAATATGAATATCCGAGATTACTGATGTATACAATATAATTATGAGAAAGGAATATTTTATTGAGAAAATAATATATTCAGGAAAAAGAAGTAGAAAATATAATTAGATTAGGTCAACTTTGGAAAATACAATAAAATATTATAATAGAAAAAGACATGAAAAAGAATACCTTTTATTTTATATATATATTTATTTATTTTAAGTTTTAACAATCAATCCGTCTGATCGCACGCGCTTTGATTGCTTTGTGTCGTACATTTTAACGATTTATAGTGTCATTATGTCGTTTTCTGGTCTCCCCTGCTTTTTTATTTATCCTAATTTTTTGTTTTCTCGTGATGTGAAGCATTAAACAATAAAGCATCCGAGGTGAAAAACACACACAAGTTTAAATTAGGGAAAAGATATTCAACTTTTATATTATTTCGATTTTTAATACTTTAAATTCCCGGATGTGGGATTATAAACACTCCGTCATGTTCATGTATGCGGGGAAGGAGAATAGCAACAAGTAAGGAGTCTCTTATCCAAAGAGAGGCTCAGGATAAGGTTCATTATAAAATGTACCGGGTTGGGTATTGGATGGAATAACCGGAAGGGATTTGGGCTGATTTATGAAAACCATGTAAAGGGTATAAGTTGGGTCTAAATCGGGTTGGGTAGATAAAATTCATTCACTTTTCATTTTTGTACTTTTGCTTTTCTCTCTCTCACCTCGGTGGTTCTTCAAGAACTGAGGTGAATCTCTCTTGTGTAAAAAGTCTTGGATAAAGTTCTAGTGATCTAGCTCGGAACCGTAAGGTTTCGACCGTGAGTAGGATCGAATTCACCCAGCGATCCGAACACGTAAATCTCGTGTGTCTTTCTTTAGTTTTCTGTTCATCTTGATCTGAAGTTTGGTTTTGGTTTCGAACGAAGAATCGGAGAGTTCTGTCGGCATTGGCTTCACAATTGGTATCAAGAGCCCGGTTCGATCCGGGGAGAGATTGTCGCTGGTGAAGGATCTTCGGCAGTAGATCGAGGTTCCTCTCCTTGCTTTTTCATCCCATCTTTCAGCTTGCTTATATGAGACAAAGCTTGTGCATGTTTCTCTACAACTTTGTCTTCATGCTTCTCTGATTAATCTCATGTGTGGGAGATATAATATGTTTGGTCTTCGTTGTTTCATGTCATTTTTACCTTCGGCATCGTGTTACTGTTTCTGGTAATATTTTATGTAAATTAGCCCTTCCTGTGTTCATTGCTCGTACTATACAGTGTTAGCTCTGAGATACTTATCATGTATGACAATTTGTTTTACAGGGAGCCTTCAAGTCGTAGCATAAGGCTCACACTTGCCTCCACTATGATCCGACTGCTTGGGACCCGAGTGGTTTATGAAGATTCCACTGTATGCTCCCCTCCTCGCACATTCTGTAGTAGTAACCTATCAAAGGCAGAGATGGAATCAATGTTTGATCCTTCCGCTAGTGAAGCCCTATTTGACCGCTTTCTGTTTGTACTGCACGGGCTGCTAAGCAATCACCAACCCTGCTGGCTAAAGACGAGGCCAGTGTCAAAGCCACTCAATGAATCTCCCAAAGATTTTTCCCCGTTTGATCGTGACTCAGCAGAGAGTTTGCAGGTCTGTCACTCTATTCATGAACTTAAATTCCATGTCCTTCTGAAATGGCACGTAGATTTGAAAGTATTTTACTCGTCTATCTGAAAATATTTGTTACGCCAATGCAGAATGAGCTGGAACGGATGCAGTTGCCAGACACTGTGAGATGGCGGATCCAAGCTGCGATGCCAATCCTCCTCCCGTATCAGCGATGTTCTCTCATGTGCCAGCCTCTTGCTGTTGTACCTGCTACTGCACTCTCACTCCTTCAACCCTCTTTGGCAAGCGGGTTCACCCCTGGAGCTTCTTCTACTCCACCTCAGAGAAATTCTATTTCGATGGCAAAAATGGGAAACACAGCTCAAGGAAAGCTGAGGCAAACCCCAGCGGCTCAGCAGCAACAGGAACTGGACAGCACAGAGATAGACCCGTGGATGCTTCTTGAGGATGGCACGGGTTCAGGTCCATCAAGCAATGGGTCAAGCAGCGACCACGTCAATCTTCGAGCCGCCAGTTGGCTGAAAGGCGCAGTAAGGGTCAGACGAACTGAGCTGACTTACATTGGTTCCGTGGATGAGGACAGCTGATTCTAGTTTTGTGGTATTCATTTATACTTTAATCGGAGCTCTACAGTTGAGCAACCCCCTTCACCCCCCAAGAACGAGTGACCGGAAAAGCTTTGATGTTTGGTTATCTATAACTCATGGCAATCATTTTTTGAGGGGTTTCGATACGCTCGGAGACACGGGTGATTCAGACAACAAACAGTCCACAAGACCTGAGAAGTTATCAACGAGGAGATCTCTGCCTGTGCAGTTAAGAGTTTTTGAGGATCTGGGTCTGAACGTGTGTTTTTAACTACTAACCCATTTGCTGCTGGTCGTAGCGCTCGCCACTTGTCACTTGATCCGGACCAATCCCATCATCTGCAATTGGTCCGGAAGCCTGTTGTATATAGAGGGATGGATAATTGGTTTCCGGTTCTTGTTCGATTGATAGTAAAATTATTCCGAGAATCATATGTAGCTTTGTTTCCATTTCTTATTGATCTCATCTTTATTCTCTTCCTGAACAACCCCCTTCTGTTTTTGCAAGCGTTTGTAGTTTCTGCAATTTGTAAAGTTCATGGATTCGGGTCTCCAGGGTGGAGAATTGTGGGATTATAAACACTCCGTCATGTTCATGTATGCGGGGAAGGAGAATAGCAACAAGTAAGGAGTCTCTTATCCAAAGAGAGGCTCAGGATAAGGTTCATTATAAAATGTACCGGGTTGGGTATTGGATGGAATAACCGGAAGGGATTTGGGCTGATTTATGAAAACCATGTAAAGGGTATAAGTTGGGTCTAAATCGGGTTGGGTAGATCAAATTCATTCACTTTTCATTTTTGTACTTTTGCTTTTCTCTCTCTCACCTCGGTGGTTCTTCAAGAACTGAGGTGAATCTCTCTTGTGTAAAAAGTCTTGGATAAAGTTCTAGTGATCTAGCTCGGAACCGTAAGGTTTCGACCGTGAGTAGGATCGAATTCACCCAGCGATCCGAACACGTAAATCTCGTGTGTCTTTCTTTAGTTTTCTGTTCATCTTGATCTGAAGTTTGGTTTTGGTTTCGAACGAAGAATCGGAGAGTTCTGTCGGCATTGGCTTCACACGTATATATCTCCTTCCTCTGCCCTTTTGTTTATAAATTGCTTACAATTTCTCTTCTTCTTCTTCATACCTCATTTCTCTCTCTCTCTCTCTCTCTCTCTCTCTCCCTCTCTCTCTCTCACAGTAGTCAAAAGCATGGCAAAGTTCACAACCTTGTGCATATTGGCTCTCCTCCTCTGTTCGACGCTAACGTACGCCGCTCGGCCTGCTCCGACCACCGCTTCACGTGGAGAAACAGCCGTCGAGGTTCGTGCTCTCTTACCATAGGCCCTTTTTTTTTTTCTAACCATAAGCTTAAATAAGAATAACATACGTATGCAAACTTCAAATTGTATAATTTGCATGGTTCGTTAATATAAGGAAATACGTACGTATGATTTACGTATAGGGTTTTGGGGAAGGACGAGGAGATAAGGAGGCAGAGGAGAGATGCGAAGGAGTTGCAGAAGAAGAATGCTTGATACGAAGAACCCTTGTTGCTCACACCGATTACATCTATACCCAAAACCATAACCCATGAGTCATTACTACCTCCTTAATTTCTATACATAGTTTATTAAAAATCCGTAGCTTTTAATCTTATTCTCGTGTTGAACGGTCTCGATCACGTTCTACTTTCTTCTCAGTTTTGAGCATTTCATGGCGGTCGAATATTCGTTATATATATTATATGGTTTTATTTTGGTATTAGTCATGTTTGTAAAGCTGTAAAAAACCCGTGCGTGTTCTTGGTCACAAAAAAATAAATAAAAAGATTCTATACGGTGCGTGTTTTGTTGTAACCACCGGCTGTAAAAAAATATATATTTTATTTCGCTCCTAAATGAAAGTATCTGACGTTCATGTGAGATCAAACATTTTTCCAACCATCCACATACAATTTCTAGAACCTTTTAATTGACTGCCGAAGACGAAAGCAGATATACACGTGTCGGTATAATATATGTATATATATAAAGGCGTACGTAAGATCAACCGAAAGGGTGATAGTAATAACAGTCAACGAGTCGTATAAATAAATATAAGTAGATTCTACATTGTATTAAGTTGATCAAGGACCAAAAGTGGGGGGTAAATAATTAAATGAATTTGGGTCGGGGAAGAGGTCAACATCAAATCATGATCACGTGTTCAAAAGGGAGAACTAATGAATAGCCGGTGGCAGACAAAACCCATTTGGGAGCATTCGATTCCCAAAAGTCAACGATTCTGACATTTCCTTTGTTCACATCTTTTCTCTTTTTTTGTGACATAAATGTCCCGCCATCATAGAAGTCCCTTCATGGGGCTGGGTTATATACGTATAGATCGATACACACACATACACACATACATTTCCGTGATATAAAAGAAAAACTTGGTCTATATGTTTTCAGTCCAACCCAATGATTTGTAATTTCATGTTATTAGTTTCTAGGGCGAGCTTTCCATGCATCCAACTATTCCCAAATTAACATAAAGAGAAATTAACAATTTCAATAAATAATTCTTTTTCACGAGTTAGGCTTTGAAAAAGTCTTCGACACGTCATAATATGTTGGGTAAAATTTCGTTTGCCAAAGCATTCAAGTCGCGCTTGACTCGCTGACCGAGTCAGACGTTCTGGTAGAAACCCTCCCTGCTAAGAAGAGGCTTATAAGTGGGCCGAATTATAGCCCATTACAAATTTTGGAGGTGATCATCTGAAACCCTAGTATTCGGAGGTGAAGGACAGGCGATTAAGATTATAGAGCAGTGACCAGGAGATTTTACTCGAGTCCAAAGATTTTGATTTGTTGATCGTATATGTTTCGAAGGAACAGGTTCCTGTCTTTCCCCATGGTGATTGGAGCTGTCGTGTAAGTTCTCGTCTCGTCTGAATTTACCCTTTTTAGCGGATTCGAACAATCGAATCGAATTTCGAGTGATCAAATTTCGTTTAGGGGAAAAGCAACAATTCGATCTCTTTCGGAAACAGTCAGATTGATTAAGGGCGATCTGTGGGAGAACATTGTTTTCTGTTGAATTGATCTGAAACGTTTTGATAATTTTCAGCTACATATTCACGACCTAAGTCCGGTTTCAATTGGCAGTTGTCTCGATTTCCCGCGGATTCGGACACGCGATTTCGTAAGAAAATGCCATTTCGAATGCCCACTGTAGTCTCAGAAGGGTTTTTGTTATCTTAAGGCAATCTGAAGGAGTTGCTTTACTTTGTGTTTTACTGAAAGTTCTTCAAGCAAGCAATGATTCCGACAGCCCGAGCAATCTGAATGGCGCGTTTCATCTTTCATGTCTGAAAGATTCCTTCTTTCTGTAACATAGGCTGATATTGAGAATCTTTTTAAACTGGATTTGCAGGATAGGAGTAGTTTCGGGTAAGGCGATTTTCGGGCCTCCCCTGGATGAGTACTGGAAAAAGAAACTTCAGGAAGATGCAGCTGAGAAGGAAGCCAAGAAAAGTTCAAGTTAAAAGCCTTGGGCATGTTCCTTGGCAGAGAAGGTTATAACAATGTTTCTCCATGTTTTTACGCCTTACTGTATATATCACTTCCACCATGAACACATCCTATGTTATGATGCAACGGCAGGTGCTATATCACCCATGGATCAGTGGCTGCATATACGGCACTAGATGATACAATGTGATATATGCTCGCTTTTATCGCATCTGTGCCATCTATAGCCCGTGTTCGCCCGCTGAAAATGGGTAGTACCGCTTGCCGACTGTGCTTTCGATCTCAATGTCCATGGTGAAGATGAGCATGTTATGGTTCAAAATCTTACTGGAATATGTAATGTTAGAGAGTTGAAACCATGTCTGGTTTCTGGTAAACCCAAGATTTTGACAAAGTTGGAGACTTGAAAAGTGCTGAAATTTCTTGAGAAATAATGCATTCGTTTTGTTTTCTATATGATTTTGATGTCAAAATGTACACCAAACAGAGTTCAATTCTGTTATTTTTCTCATTGATTAGGCGTTAGAAGCAGTGGAGCTTCAACGATCTGCAAACACACGATCTGCAAACACAGAGAAAGACATAAGCCACAAAGAACAGAGCATCTCTCACCTTCACATGCCTTCTGGCTTCAGTCCCTGTCTCTATCACCGATTCTACGCAACTCGCCATACGATTGTTGAATTTATCGAATAGAAGTTCCAACAACGATCTAACCATCTCGAATGTGACCCTCCCGGTTAAATCGATCACCAATTTCCGGTTAGTCGGTATAGATAATGAAGATGAAAATGAAACCCAGCTAGTCCATGTACTTGGACCGCGCCGTGATGATCTCGATCCAACTGTAGTCGAGAAATCAAACTCGTTTTTCACTTTGCCTTTGCGATAAGGTAACCTTCTGTTTGAGTCAGAGTGTTCGGGAATTTGCCATGACGTTCTTACGTACGTCTCGACCGCGCCATTACAGACCGAAACCAAAGCGTCTTTAACTCTCTGGTCGTGTTTTGGATTCGTCATTCCGACGAAGAGATCGTTGAAGACATTTACGTGCATTGTTCTGTCGAGATAACCGCGACTGCTGTGCTGACGAACAGTTGGACGCAGTCGCCTATCAGTTTTCTGCCATCATCTGAGCAAATCGCGTTGACCCATTTTGACTTTGAAACAGAAGATTCGCCGGAAAATTCGTCGGAGAAAAACGCTACGACCATGTTCCTCGCGAAACTGCCGACTACCGCAGAGGCAAAACCCGACCCGGTTTTGGATAAGAGCTTATCCTTGACCCAGTCCGTAAACCCCGACCCGGCATCGTCATTTTTGGAATCCGATGGATACCCACGAAGTAATCTGACGGTCATAGTTTGTGTGAATCTGATAAGGGACGAATTGACTTCGTCTGATTTGGCGATTTTGGAGATCTGCTTCAAGCTGTTGGGGATTTGGTCGGAATCTGATCTTAAAAAGTCTGTCAGATCCTTTGATATGACCCTGATCGTTTCGGCAGAATCAGAAGCAGCTTCTACCAAACTGAACAGGTTCTCCAAAACCTTCGAAATTCTCTTTCTTGTTCTGGAAACTGTCGGGGAGTGATAAACCCTAAAAGCACCATAACCACTTGCAGCCAGAAAAATCCATTTCTTGTTTCTCAGAGCAAAATCAAAACCCTTTCTACCCAATCCTAATCCTAGATCCATACGATATTACAAATAATGAAGCTATTATAGAAAAAAAAAAGAAGCTTTTCATACAAAATCACGATATCATCAGACCCTTTTTGCTGGTGAGAGCAATGAAACGATTTTCTCTCGTTTTCTTCTTCGATTTTCCCGGATTCCAATGAAAGCAGTCACCTTTACAAGTTAACGCAACGGACGCAAGACTATAGCGGATAACTAAAATGGCAAAAAAAAATGCAGAGATATATAGGGAAAAACCTGTAAGAAATCGAAAAACTGGATAGAGTTAGGGTGACGTCGAAGCTGTTGCAGGTTTCTAACAGAACATACGACCCTCTCTCTGCCGTGATCGAGGCAACTATAAAAAGATACAGCCCTATATATAATATATATATATATATATAGTTGTACGTATGCGTGTATATAAATCCATAATTTCCCAATGTCGTGTTGTCAGAATCAGAATTTTCGAGCCTGTGAGATGTGTAGGCTGAGACAAGTCGCTTCGGTCTGTTATTGTTCACCGGCGTCCTCGCATCAAACCCATTAGATAATAATATTCTATTAATATGTATATACATGATTTTACCAAACAATATCTGTATACATGCAAACGTATGATATACTCATATGTGAATGTATACACGTGTATTTGCGTATACTCGTCCAAAAAACTCGTGATTTCCGTTGCAATGGCAGATATTGAAGCCGTAAAATCTCATTAAACTGTTATAAGAAATAATCTAATGATTATGAAATAATTAGCAATATTTTGGAAATGTTAATACAAGACTAATCTCAGACACCCAAATTTGGGTGGTCTAGTGGTATAAGAACATGCAAAGTATGTTTTTATCCTGGATTTCAAACCCAAATGTGAAAAAGGATATTCATATGAACTTCTCCAGTCATTTAGGAGATATAGTGGGCGAAAGTTTCGGTGAACTTCCAGATTATAAAAAAAAACTACTCTCCGACTTGTTTGTTTTGAAAACAGTATAAATGAGTTGCAAGTGATGGATGGAACACCAGATTCGGCCCACAAAATATAAATACCACGAAAACGAGATATGTTGATATAAAAACTGCGAGATAAATCAATTGACAAAAAGTGAAAAGATACATCAGAATGTCGGTCTGTTTGGTAGATTCAAGCATCTAATTTACTTCATTATATTTGTAATTTCCGAATTTATCTGAAGGATGAAATCCCAGTCGGACACGTGGCAGCGTTATGTAATACCCGGGGAGAGACGCGAGCCGCCGCGCTTTCTCGACTCCACGGAAGAAGCCCATTTCGCCACGTGTCGACCAATCCTTACACGTGGCATGTCCTCCCCTCGAAAGAAAAAAAATTATGTTTTACATTAAGTAATTTGAGTCCGGCTCGTGACTCGTGAGCTGTGACTCGGTGTGTTCCGGTTGAGCGAAACACATATCCAATATTTTCGGAGGATAGCGCGTGACAACATATCGTTAGCCAGATTTTTATTTCGAATTTATCAAAAATCGTTAAAAGGGATTCGGATAATATATATCGAGAACATATTATATACTGCAAGTGTAAAAGTGGCCATCATTGTCCAAATTTATATAAAGAAAAAAAAAAAGAAAAAACAAGTGGCTCATCATTGTCATAAAGGAGCAAGTGCCGGATCCAGCGCACATATATACACACACAAGACATATATAAGGACACAACACAGATACGCATGTATATGTATGTGTGTGTACATCCTAACTTAAGAGTGAATATATCTATATACACACAGAAACATCCGTATATGTATGCATACGTACACATGTCTGTATATATACGTTGGCTTCTGTTTCGGCTGCGCTCTTTCTCGTCCACCAAGATAACTATTTTTCCTCTCTTCCATAACTAACCAGGAATTCGCAGCCCCAATAAGAAAACACACACGGACGAAGGAGATCTTGCAGAAAATTCAAGGAGAAAAAAAACCGAATCAAACTTCATCACTATCTGAATCTCTCTCGTCCCAGGTTTCTTCTTCTGCTTCATATACATATATATATATATATATATATATATA